AGGTAGCCGTTCTGATTAAATGCTCGGTATTCACCGCGCTGTTCCATGGTACGGATGCTGTCAATGGCGGAGACGAGGTTCGGGGCTTCTGTGCCTTTGCAGGTTCCATAGAATGGCTCCCTGATGGAGGTCTGCTGGATGATTGCAATCTTTTGAAATTGAAGCGCAAATTCTGTACGCGCCGGTTTTGTCGGAAGTTGGCATTGGCTTGCGCGACAGCTTCTGACAGATTATCCGATGGAGTTGTGAAATTTTAGAGCATATACCGTGAGCAGGATCATAGGACGGTGAGACACCATGAGAAAAATTGATAGTGGAATGATAGTCTTACCTGGACTCATACTAGGGTTGGTTGCCTCAAGCTCTTCCCTCATTGAGGACCTTGGTACCCAACCATGCTTTGGAGCTAAAGAAGACCTCGTAGCTTCCACTAGCTTTGGATTAGGAATAAATGATTCTGTTGCAAGAGCAGAATTGCATAATAAGAAAGCGATTGAAGAGAAACTTAGAAGTTGAGATTTTGGAAAGTGTGAGGATCGATTGCCGCTTTCTTTTCCCATCACGTTGAAGAGTTCTTGAAAGGCTTGAATGAATTGCTAAAGAAAATGATCAACTAGTATCGCGCTATGGACAAGTTTGGTACCGTAGGATCAAAGTTGAAATTGAACTATGATATGAGGGAAAATGTGTAAGTTTGCGCTGAGAAAGATAAGCGTCATGGTGGGCTAAAATTTTGGGACTTTATAGGATCAATTTGAAAGAAACCTTCTGCGTCAATAAACTAATGAAACGTATTAGATAAATTATTGCTTCATCCTCTGAAGTAGCTTACAACAATCGAGACAAGATGTGTCTGCGCCGAAGTCGAGGTGAAGCCAGACCCAGCAGATACACCATGAAGCCTACGGTTCTCAAGTTGTAAATCAAGCCTGCGTACCAGCAGCGGTTCGGCGTGATTGTAGAATCATTCTCATGTAAAAATATTTGAGAAAATGGCCGCAGTTGACAAAAGATCCGACTCTATTTCATCAGAGCATGGTGAGATGTAGTCCTTGAACTTCTGAGATTTGGTATGGAGGTGATTTGGACGCGGACAAAATTTGACACTTGGTCTCAACATGTGATCAAACATACGAACTTTGTTCCATTTACATATGCACTACGGGCGTAGGGGTGGCACATGAGTCTTGTGGTGGTGAGCTTGACTGCAAGGTCACTGGCACAACTATGCGTTGGCACTGCGTGTTGGAGCATGTACCAAAGTTGTAATTGCGTTGGTTGACTGGTTCTATTTAGAAAACTTCAAAGCATAACACGTGAAAATGTTCCCAATACTGAAAGATTATAA